AAATAAAAAATGAGCAACATCTTCGCCTGGAATCAAACCACAGACCTCTGGATACGCTCCCAGCATGCAGACCACTACACCACGAATGGACGCTTAGAAAACGGGAGAAATACTTTACATACTCCCCCTTTTAAAGGGCGACTGAGGTTTTAAAGGGACCCAATCGTCAAATCCTGGGTGTGCAGTATCATCATCCACCACCTGTTTAGTTCGGGAGCCACTGTACAGATATTAGGTAACTTTTGGAAACAAGATAAATGAAAAATGAGCAACGCCTTCGCCGGGAATCGAACCACGGACCTCTGCATACGCGCCTAGCGTGCAGACCACTACACCACGAAGGACCACTTAGAAGTCGGGAGAAATTTTTTAATATATTTACATCGGCCATTTTGTTGTTAATTATGCTCACTTGTCTGACGTGATCAACCTTATAGAGACATTAGGTTATTTCGAAGCAGATGAAAAATGAGCAGTGCTCTCGGCGGGACTCCAAACAAAGACCTCTCGAATACGCGCCGAGCGTGCTGACCACTACACCAAGAAGGCAGGAAAGAATTACCCTATAACTTTACAGGTGACAGTATGATTTAGCTCAGGTCCGACTTACGGGTCAGTTCAGACTTACGGCTCGCCGCACCGGCACTATACATTTACAAACATCCATGCCTTTTCTTCGGGTTTCGAACCCGGGTCCTTCGGCACGACAGTCAGCGACGCTAACCACTGTACCGGTTGGGCGGCATATCAGACATGTTAGGACTATTAATTATTGAAGTTATACTACGATTTATTGGACATTTAAATTATGAATTTCCTGTCGTTTAACGGATTTCTTTTCTCTTTTTTTAAAGCTTATAGCAGTTGATTATGAAACTTGATATATATAATTAGGATTAATTGATTAATTTACTGATTAATATACAATTAGGATTTTATTAATTGATACATTTAGTTAAATACATTTAAAAAAATTTCTCTGTAATGCCTGGTTATTTAATTTGAGTGCAGGTTTCAAATTGCTCTAATTTTTTATGTACAGTAATTACAGTGCAAGGAAGTTTTCCCTGCGCTTGTTTTCGTGGTGTAACTGGCAGCAAATACGGTTAACAATCAAAAGATTCGAAGCTGAAATCCCAGCATGGCATCACTGATTTTTTGCATTTTTCTAACTTAAAAAGCTGATTAGTGCACCAATTATAAATTGTCACACTTCATGTTTTTTCCTGTAATTTATTTGGACTGTTAAAATATCTGGAATGAGACTGTTGTACATGCTGCACTTTCTTTGGATTTCATGTAGGATTTAGTGATAGAAACAGCAGTCTTGCCTGTCATTTAGGAAGTTGAACAATTAGATGACTTCAGCAAAGCCAGTAATATTTTATAATTTTTAATTTAGCAGCAGAATTTTAAATTAAATTTACAATTAAAAGATTTAATTGTAATGGATTTAATTGTTTGTAATGGATTTAATTTAATTGTTTAATGGATTCAATTGTTTAATTTTATTGGATTTAATTGTTTGAGCAGTTAAAACATATAAATTAAATTTTCTTATTCCTTATTCTCTTAGTTATTAAATTCCTACTATTAGCTCCCTCTCACTATATCTAGTAATCACTATATCTATCTTAATAAAAAAAACTTTTTATTCATCCACTCAAGTTCAAATACATTTTTTTTTTAAACTTGTAATGGATGACACTGGATGTTAACACAGTTTTTTCAGATATTAAAGTGGATTCCTACTCATTGATTCCTGTTTATTGGAATGAAAAATATACACTTTTTTTAAACATACTGTAAGACTTACAGATAATGACCATTTATTAGAAATTCTCACGTGTTGTAAAAATTAATTTTATAACAACTTATATATGATACTAGCGGGCAAGGCTGCCAGCTGAGCGGGCTGAAGCCCGCTTATCATTGTTCGTTTTTAAAAGCTTTCCCATGTTAAATTTCGCCGGTATTCGAAAGTTGGACCGAACTACCAGTGTTCAGGGATTTTTCCCGGGCTGTGCCCGCTTTATTGCCGTATGCATCCACAAGATACTGCCTACACGTTACACATGTGGAAAATCATAAAACACCCATGCAGTCAGCCCCGCTTGCCGGGATTCGAAAGTTGGACCACACTACCAGTGTTCAGCGGTTTTGCGCGGGCTGCGCCCGCTTTATTCACTTATGCATCCAGAAGACACTGCATACACGTCACACATGGGGCAAATCACGAAAACACCTATGCAGCCAGCCCGTTCGCCGGTATTTAAAAGTTGGACCGAACTACCAGTGATCAGCGGTTTTGCGCGGGCTGAGCCCGTTTTCTTCACGTATGCATCCAGAACATCCAGAAGATACTGCATATATGATACACATGCGTAAAATCACGAAAAAACCCCATGCAGCCAGCCCGTTCGCCGTTATTCGAAAGTTGGACCGAACTCCCAGTGTTCAGCGGTTTTGCGCGGGCTGTGCCCGCTTTATTCACGTGTGCATTCTGAACATTCTCCATACACCTTAAACATGCAGAAATCGCGAAAACACCCATGCAGCCAGCTCGCTCGCCGGGATTCGAAATTTGGACGAAGTACCAGTATTCAGCGGCTTTAGTACCAGTATTCAGCGGCTTTAGTACCAGTATTCAGCGGCTCCAAGAGCGTATAACGAAAACACTCATGCAGCCAGCCCGTTCGCCGGGATTCGAAAGTTTGACCGAGCTACCAGTGTTCAGTGACTTTACCGCTGAGCCGCTAATGTGCCGTAGTAGAAATTGTAATCGCGAAAATTTTCTCATTTATTATGAAAAGAAATGAACGAAAAGAAATTTTTAGTGAAAATTTAAATTAGTAGTTTAAATAGTAATTTCAACTTCTTTTTTAAATATCTGCATAGAAAATCTTTAATCTAATAATAATAATAATAATAATAATAATAAATAAAAATCTAGTAACTTCAACTTCTTGTTTAAATATCTGGGAAGGTTCCTTGCAATAATGAATTTTACAAGAGATGGATAGAATGAGAAATTGTGGACCACCCTCAACTACATAAATTAGAAAATAAAAAGTGTTAATAATGTTAATAAAAAGTAACTCAAATAAAATTTGTCTCTGTTGACCTAAGTAGGAAGTGACTTTAAATTTTTTTCCATATTACTTGTTTTAATGTTATTTTAGAAAACTGAAACGAAAAATAAGTATTATTTGTTTCAACTTGAACAAAAGAAATTTCAGGGAAATTCATTCCAGTAATGAATTAAAATTAAAAAAAAGTTCAGAAATTAAATAAAGTTTAGAAATTAAAAATAAAAAGAATAAAGAAGATCAAACTGTAACTTAACTTAATGGCATAATAATGTATGTAAATGATTAAATTACAGTTAATTATTTTAATAATTGATCATAAGGAGATTAATCTTATAAACCCGCTTAAAACATTTATTTCTAAAGGAAAGAAATTAATATGAAATATTCCTAGCTATTAACCAAAGGAAGGATAATAAAAGCAAGTGAAATGTGGATAAAATAAGCTTATCAAAATATCTCCAGAAAATATAATGAAATGAAAAATTAATACCGTCAAACTTTGCTTCTTATATTGAGAATTATTCATTCATAATTCCACGAAATAAATTAAATAATAAGAATCAAAGGCGATTTTCTACATTCAATGGGAAAATATTCTTTTGTACGAAATTCTTTGTTCAGACGCTCTTTATGATTTTTATGAAAGGCGTGGTTTTTGATTCTCAGTTCCTTTGTAATGAATATTAAACCGTTAATCCTTTACAATAGAAGTTATTTTCAGATTTGCCACACTAGGAAAGTTAATCTCGATGGGTTACTATATTGAAACAATTCCTTTTGTGGTGTCATTCCAGCTAATAGTTTTACATGGACAACTCTTACAAAGAATTCCTAAAAGTGTTTAGTTAGTCTAATACAGAGTTTCTTAAACTGTGGGTTGCGACTTGCATCAAGTGGTCACCAAAAATTCCAGCAGTTTGGATATTTCTTAGGTTATTTTTAAAGCAGGAATGAGGAAAAATGAGCAACGTCTTCGCCGGGAATCGAACCACGAACCTCTGGAATATGTGCTCGGTATGCAGAAGGCATATTAAGAAGACGGGAGAAGTACTTTCCCTTTCAAAGGGCAACTGGGAGCCAATCGCCAAATCCTAAGCCCGGTGGCGCAGTGGCTAACGCGTTGAGCAGCAGCACCGCAGGTCCAGGGTTCGATCCTCGGGCTGGGCAAGGTTGACACAACCTTTCATCCCTTGAAATCAGTGGGTCGATAAAATGAGTAGCAAGTTCTCTTGGAGACTAAATACCGGGGGTCCTGCGACAAGCTGACCACTTTTTCAGGGCATATGCTCACTCCGGGGACCACGGTCAAGAAGGCAGATTTCAAGCACTGCAGGCTTTGGCCCTTTAGGTCTGTTGCGCCAGTGAGTTTAGTTTAATCGCCAAATCCTGGGTGTGAAGAATCATCATCCACCACCCTTTTAGTTTGGGAGCCACTGTAGAGACATTGGGTTATTTTTAAAGCAGGAATGATGAAAAATGAGCAACTCCTTCGTCGGGAAACTCGGGAATACGTGCCCAGCGTGCAGACCACTACACTACGAAGGCAGACTAAGAAGGCGGGAGAAATACCTTATTATAATAATTTTACAAGTACCAAATATTTTTACACAATGTATCTGAAAATGGATAAAGATAAGACAACACAAAGAAAAAAACTAAAACATTCCGACGCATTCTTTTTATAATATACAACAGGGTTTCTTAAACTTTTTTCAGTCGTGATCTCCCTTTTATCACTAAAATGTTTTCGCGACACCCGAGGACCCCATAATATTTACAAAATTTTTGAGGTACGTCTTTTTTTTTTGGGGGGGCATGGTGTACCTATAGGCCGAAACAATTATTTAATTACAACAGGATATGCATTAAATAATGAATTGAAACATTTATAAATATTAAAAGCCTTACCTAGTAAAATCTTCGTCGGTGGCAACTTTGGGGAGGACAGCATTCATCAGAGTCTCACTTCCATACTTCGACATTGGCATACTCACTGTAAATGAAAAAGAATGTAATGCCAATAAACTACAAGCAAAACATTACCAATGATTATTGCTTCTACAAATAGATTGTTTCTAATATTTTATGTAACTTTTATGCTGCTCCCAGAAAAGTATTAAATAACAACTGTCATTTATATTATCATGTTAACACAAGTTCATTCTCACACAAGTTTCTGTGAAAGAGATAATTCATAAATAGATTGTTATAAAATTGAAAAAAAATTTCAGGTTTTTCAGAACGACGAATGGATTAACTCTCCAAGAGCAAACTAGATGGCGCCACCTTTCGAGCTTGAAGCTTCCGTAGGGCTTCAAGACCATTACCCTCTAGTGCCAGTTATATTTTGCCCCCCTTTTTTTAACTTTATGATGCGTATTTTTTAGATTATGTAATTTTCTACTTTTAGCGACCTATAGCATTCTTATTTTATTGAATCGGTAAAAAGCTAGTGACATACTAGCTAAGCGCAGCGTGGCATATTTTATAAATAAATAAATAAAGTGAAAAAAGTAGTGTCTAATAAATTTGGACACGGCTGGTCTTAAATGTAAACAGTGTAATGTTAAGTTGCTTAACTCTGTGCGATGTTGAACTTTTTTTATCTCCGGTTCATCTAACTTTAGTGCAAATCTTGAAACAACACTTTAGGAATTAGCAAAGTCCCTTTTAAAATTTACAAAATTTGACGAAACAATACACGCGGTTGGTTCAGGAATTTTATTGCTACATTTGCAATGAAATAAAACTGAAATGAAAAATTTACTATAAAAAGTTTTACTCTTTAAAATGCAGTTTTAAATGAATGTGTGTAAAAAAAAAAAAAAAAAAAAAATCAGTATTCAGGTTTAAAGCGAAACTCAAGCCCCAGTAAAAAACTTCTGACAATTAATACTTCTCCTTTTGTTATAACAAACAAACAAACAAACAAAAAAATTAACAATATGACTCAAACGGAAGAGAACCTTACTTTTATTTTTACTGAAGTTGTAGAAAAATTAGGTATCTTTTGGAAGCAGGAAAGATGAAAAATTAGCAACACCTTCGCCGGGAATCGAATCCCGTACCTCTGAATACGCGCCCAGCGTGCAGACCACCACACCACGAAGGCACGCCAAGAAGGCGGGAGAAATACCTTATATACTCCTCCTTTTAAAGGGCGACTGGGGATTTTTTTAGGGGACCCAATCGCCAAATCCTGGGTGAGGAGAATCATCATCCAACACCATTTTAGTTCGCGCGCCACTGTAGAGACACTAGGTATTTTTTGGAAGTAGGAAAGATGAAAAATTAGCAATGCCTTCGCCGGGAATCGAACCGCAGACTTCTGAATACGCGCTGAGCGTGCAGACCACTGTACCACGAAGGCTCGTTAAGAAGGCGGGAGAAAAACCTTATAAAGTAAAGTGGAATTCTGTATTTGTTGTGTTAATAATTAAAATATTGTTACTGAAAAACCCAGCTGCGGTAAGACAGCTTTCTCGCAAAGCGGGTTTAGGGTTGCCAAAAAATTGCAAAAGAAGGTAAGGCTGCTATATAAACCCGTTCTGTAGGCAGAGTAGCAATCTAGTATCGACTGTATCGCAAAGTGGTGCATCGAGAAGCGTGCACCTCTGAGGCTATCAAGTGTATCGTCGAGTGCATCGCGAGTTCTAGCGTGGAGAGTCTCGAGAGTTTCGAGAACGACTGAACCGAGTCGGGAGCTGTACTGTAGTGCTTTGCTGTGAAGCTGTCTTCCCCGTTATAACCTGATAGCCGCACTGTTGATTGTTTCAGCGTGTTAGTCGTAGCTTTTCGACGACTGTAAACGTTTTTTTGGAGCTGTCCTGAGTAATACTGGCTAAATAAATTGTGTTTTCATTCTTCATCAAGAGTTGTCATTAATCACTCCAAATCCACAAACTCGTAGAATGCAAGACTATTACCAGAAGCATAAATTTTTTTAAAAAAGATTTATTCTTCCAAACTGATTTTAGATTTCCTGCATGACTGGAATAGATACAACGAACCCTCTTTAACACATACATTTATAGATTTAGAGGATTTTGGCTTTCAGCGAAAGTGGTCATCTAAGAAACGCAGAGTTCAATATTAAATTATAATTTATACTCTCATAAATAATAGACACTTTCAGAGAAAATCATCTATGGGTGCTATTTGCCAAGAGATGGTTCTCTGTAATTTATCAAACTAGAAAAGCACATTAAAAAACTTGGCAACAAATCTAAGATATATAGTGGACGTAAACTAAGATGGTCATTCACAGTTCCGTCTTCACAAATTTTAGTCTTTAGTTCAGGTGGTTAGTTTAGAGAGTTGAAGTTCAGAATCTGCATTTATTTATGTGCTTAGAAATACTAGTTCTAGTCCTTAGAAATGTGTTTAGTTTGTGTGCTTAGAAATACTAGTTGACTTTTACGACAGCTGCTGTCAGGGTTTCAGCTTAGGTTGAATTTTGATAAGTTTTCTAAACTTTATATTATAATGTAATGTTCCAACCTATAATTTACAGCTAAATATGTGGAACCTTGAGATCTGGTTAGAGAATAATCGCTTTAGTTCAGTAGACAGAGAGCAGACTCGAGAAGGGTTAGTTGCCCTTTATTATTCAGAATAAATTTAACAAACGGTCCTCTCTCAGGACGTACAGAAAAGTCTCTACTTGGGCTTGAACTCAAGAATGCTAAGGAATAAAACTTAGCTAAAGAGATAGAGCCAAAGCTATCACAATTCTACAGGAGTTGGCCCCTTGACGCTAACTAAACGGCAAAGCTATCAAGAGCCTGAAATACGAAGAGATATAGCCGAAGCTATCACAATTCTACAGGAGTTGGCCCCTTGACGATAACTAAACGGTGAAGTTATCAAGGGCCTGAGATACAAAGAGATATAGCCGAAGCTATCACAATTCTACAGGAGTTGGTCCCTTGACGTTAACTAAACGGCGAAGCTATCAAGGGCCTGAAATACGGCCGAGCGTAGAAAAAGCTTAGAGAGAGTGTAGCCTAAAATTCGAACGCGCGCTGGTCAGTATCTCTGGTTCTCTAACGAAGTCAGTAGAACTTCAACTTTAAATACTTGCTACTCTTTCATTTGCATTTAACCGCGATTCTGGAAACACGTTCTCGCAAGAAATTTGTAAGCTGAAATTAGAAGCGACAGGAATGTGGCTTTACTAAAAATTAATTGTTAAAAACTTAGCATAAAATTTGCAATAGCATTTCGATTTGTTTCTTCGGCAAGATCGTGGACAAATGAATTGCCATGAAATAAACACAGAGAATCTTCTTGAGATAAACGCCTCTTGCAGACGACCGACTCTAAAACTGAGCATTTGACAACATAAATAAATGTTGGTAGTGAATATATCTTCTCTAAGAGAAGGCCAAAACAATCTGAAACTCTCAGTGGTCTTAGTGAGCGTTTATTTCATTTGCTTGTAATATCCACTTGTTAGTTTTTGGTGTGACAGCTGAAGTATGTGCAGAAACGAGACATCAGAAGGGTTAAAAGAACCCTTTATTATAACTCTTAAAATTCACAATACGTCTACTTGACACTGACAAATTATGGATCGCTAGAGCGGTAACTCAACTAACAAGAACTAAACTTAAAATTCAAAGATACTATTAACAAAATAGAAGAATTTCTCGCCAGGGCACAGATAATCCTGTTACCAAAAAAACCGCGTCGAAGTCTAGTGGCAGCAATGTTACAGCTGTTAGCCACTTTAACCTCTTCATCGTCCGTAACGCGTCTAGCGCGTTCAAGTGAAACTTCCGCAGGGCGGCGTAACGCGCCTCAAACGTTTTTCTACAACTTTTAACCGTTTAAAACGCTTTCTAAAGTTTACTTGTTTCAGTTTTTTGTTTGTCCTAATACCTCCTAGAGGGTAGCACTAATCAGTCATTCTATTTCTAACTGAATTTGCCCCGGGTTTTATGAAAATTCGCGCTATTTTACATAAGATACAAGACAGTGAGCGATGGCTTTAACGTCTACTCAGTGGAAAAAGAGAAAAAATGAGGTGGTGAATTGGAAAAACAAGAAGGATATACGTTTGATGAGTACAATCCATGACAACTCGATGATTGATGTTGGAACACGGAAAAGAACTGTAAAAAAAGCCCAATAATTGTAAAAGATTACAACAACAAAATGGGAGGAGTGGACCGCCTGGATCAGATGTTATCAAATTATCCTGCTGTTAGAAATAAGCAGAGAAATTATTATTTCGTCATTATGCTTTATTTCCTTATGATTTTACTTAATATTCATTGACATTCATCCGCTACGAAAGTCATGTATGAAAAGTTACGATGTACAGAGAAAACCACATTACAGGTTTGGATTGGTTTATTGAGATTACGGCAAAGCACACTAGGGCTATCTGCCTAAGGGAAGGGATGCCTTCGTGGAGGGCTTTCTAAGTGAAACTGGCTCGTATACACGTTACACATGAGGAAAACCACGAAACACCCATGCAGCCAGCCCGTTCGCGGGATTCGAACCTCGGACCGAACTACCAATGTTCAGCGTTTATACAACTCGGCCGCTGGTGGGCTAAAACAACATTACACGCTACGAAAAACAGACAGCCGCTGGGGGGAAACTTTCGCGGACAGGAGAGGACGGCCAAAGGGTTAGCAATAAATGCAGAACCAGAAGCTCACGCTACAAACGTTCAGCGGTTTGCCCACTCTCTCTAACTTTCCCTTCTAGAACTCGGTATTAAAACCTTTTCTCCTCAAGGTAGAATTTGCATTCCTTCACGCGCACTACCAAATTAACATATTATGGCATTGACAATTAGGGAAATGAAGTCTTATAGGAAAGAAAGTATAAACGTAAACTTAACTGGTTATTCAAAATAAATATACATCCCTACATGCTAAGTAAATTGTTGCAAAAATGTCGTTAAATAGGTTTGTTGGTAAATTTATTCCAAAAACAAACAATTAAAATCTGAAAACTTTCAGCTTTTAAATTACG